CTGTGCCCACTGCCTTGCCCCTTCTAGTCCAAATTAGACACTGCAGCCAGTGGCCCATCTGAAACACATCCCTAGCCAATCCCACTTAGAGCTCTTTGTCCTGAGGCTCCTCCCAGGACAAAGTCCAAGCTCCTTGTATAGTGCGTTCAAGGACCTTCATCATCTCGCCTCTGTCTTACTGAGATTCCTACCCCAATTCTATAAAGTTGCTGCTCTCCTGGGATACCCCAGGCTGCTCCATACATACCTCCCTGCCTTGTTCACGCTGCTGCCTCTCCTGAGCAGGCTGTGTGTCTGGCCAGGGCCCATCAGGAGGAATAGCACGGTAGGCACACCGGGACAGTGCAACACAAGAATCTGGAACTACAACAGGGGACTGAAGTAAAGAGGGATTGGCTGGTGAGAAGTGAAGGGAACTCTAAAGAATTTAGGAGTAGCAGTGACCCAGTGCTGAAATGGAAAGCCCAGGAAGAGGCCCTCACCCACTATCCCTGCCCGAGGCTGGGACGCAGACCTGGGTGGAGAGGGCGTAGTCAGTGAAAAGGGTGAATTCACAGCTGAAAGGTGATGAAGGTGATAAAGGAAGACCAGGACAGGCCCGCTGCCCCTCATCCACCTGGTGCAAATGTTTCATTTTTCAAGGCTTGGCTCAAGTGCTACCCACTCCACAGAGACTTCTGTGGCTCTTCTCCCCCCTCCACTCAGGCAGAATGGATTCCTCTCCCTTTGTGTGCAGAACCCCACCCCCCACCCTGACATGCACACCTGTGTCCCAGTCATCCGTTGGGGTCTTCCGGTGGCAAATTGCACTTTTGTTTACTTGTTTACCCCCACCTAGGGTTGCCAGACAAAACACAGGACACCTGGTACTGGTGTCCTGTTTGAACTTGAATACTGCCTGATTATCACATGAGGCACACTTACTTAAAAAAGTAGGTATTGTTTATCTAAAATTCAAGTTTAACTGGATGTCCTATCTTCTTATTTGCTAAACCTGGCACACTTCCCTCACCTCCACCTGCAACTATGGTCTCCTTGATGGCAGAATATGTTTCCAGCTGAGCTCCGAATTCCCATAACTGTCCCGATGCATTACAGTTAGTGTTCAGTTGGTGTCGAGAGAACAGTGATTTCTCTGGCTGCAGAGTTGAGAGGGACTGAAGGGTGTTGGGACTGGAGACAAAGAGACCGGTCAGGAGGATAAGCGATAAACCATTCCCCCAAACATAAAGGCTGCAACAGAATAGGGGGTGGACTTGAAAGATCTGAACCTCTGAAGACCAATGGATAAGGGAAGTGACCGAGCTCAAGGAGTCCAGGATGTTGCCCAAGTGTCTGGCTTGCGTCCCTGGGTGGAGGTTGGTGCCCTTCATGCAGGGGAGCACTGGAGGAGGCTTGGAAACTGGAGAGCAGGGAAGATTATTGATGTGAGTCTCAGAGCAGGGCAGAGAAGCGTGGAGACTGGATCTGAGGGAGCAAACAGAAGGTTGCCAGGACAGATAGTTGAGCTCGAGGGTGCAGAGTATGTTCAGACAGAAGTATTGGAAATACACAGACTTGGAGCTCAGGAGAAAGGTCCAGGCTGGAGATACAATGTGACCATCACTGGCCCGGAAGTGGTAACCCAAACCGTGGGAGTGTGTAACACCGCTCAGGGAGAGAGGGGACTGGGAGGGGAAGACGGCCTGTGTCAAAGCCCTGAGGGACAGCTGAGAGGCAGAGAGTGGAAAAGAAGCCTGAGAATGAGCAATTGGGGTTGAGGGAGGAAGTGCAAGAAAGTATGGGGCCAAGATAGGGGCTGGAAGACAGGCTTTCAAGGGGGGATGACAAATCTGAGTGCTCCTGGGAGTTCAAAGGACAAGGCTGAGAAGTGGCCTTTGGGTTTAGTAATGACGATGTCACTGGTGGTCTCAGCAAGAGCTTCTGTGGTGAAGGAGGAGAGGTGGGAGGAAATATAAATATATATACACATGTACACACACATGTGCGCATGCACATACATGTATATTTGTATTCAGTGTCAATTTTGTTTAATGCTGTGATATATTTTATCAAGTGTAAATGCAGAGGGAAGGGAGATATTCAATTAAAAAAAGGTTGAAGAATGGGGAAGTTTGTAAATAGTTGAGACCAAGAGCCCTGATACAGAGTCCGGAGAGCAGACAGAGAAATTAATCTGGCTACAGGAGGACATTAATAATAATATCTAGAATGGGGCACGACACCTCGAGGGCCATGGACTCCTCAGGAATCTGAATGAGCTTCAGGGTCAGTGAACCCCCTACAATTGTTCACCAGATTTACACATCAGTGGTTTTCAAGCATTTCTTTTGCGGGGGTCAGGGAGGATCCTTGGCTTTCATCATATTCTCTAAGAACTCTACAACTCAGAACACGCTGAGAAGCACTCCTGTGAGCGGGAAAGACGGTCTCATATGGCACGATCTGCCTAGGTCTCTTCTCTGACCTCTCAGCTTTCTGCCCATCTTACCCTTTTCCAGGGGAGACCTCAGGTGGCCTGTACACACACACAATGCATCACAGGGTCTCCAGCGAAGGGGAATGTGGGAATCCCCAGGCAAGAGAGGGGGAAAGTAGTCAGGAAGGGCAGCGGGGGCACATGGGACCCTGCGCCTTGATTCTTGGATGAAACAAATCTAGAGGGAAGTTTTGGGAGCTCTCTGAAGTGGAAAAACAGTCATTTCAAAGCCACCTGTAGTTTTCTGTCTTACAAAGGTGGTGGTTGGACACCCCTTTGGAGGAGGCCAGGCCACTGTTCTGGGAAGACCACTCCAAGGGACAACGTGGGTTTGTAAATGAGACACAGAGACTGCAACTGAAGATGCAGATACTGGAGCCGCCTGGGCCCCCAGCGGTGAGAGGGCTCCGCCCGGCCAGGCCCTCTGCCTGGTGATCTCTGCCGAGTTGTGGGCAGAGAAGTGCAGCTCTTGTTTCCTTTGGGGAACATAGCTTTGTTGTTGTTGTTGTTGTTGTTATTATTATTTTAAGAGGGATTTGGGTTTTGTGAGCTGCTGCCTGGACTGGTTCTTGTAGAAGCTGCCAGATCAGCTGGGGCTCTGTGAGATGTTGGGCACTGTCTCCCTGGGGCCCAGAATGTGGCCTCGAGTTGGGGGGACCTACCCCCTCAAGGACTGCCAGTTTGGGAGGGTGTTGAGAGCCAGAACCTTTGGCTGGAGTTCCGACCTGCCTCTCTTGCTGTGAGCACTCAGAGATGGCTTCCTTCCGTCTCCCAAAGAGGCTCTGAGAGCAGAAACGCCAGAGGGGTGGGGGTTGGAAGGTGGGGGTGGGGTGGGGATTAGGCCGCTATCAAGTCTGCCCAGCAGGGGCTCCCTGGCCCCAGCGGCCCTGGGATTACAGGTTGTCTGTCCCCTTTTACCCTGGACCAGGGCCAGGCCAGCCCTTTCTGAGGTGTGTGCGAGCTGTACGGCACTGGTACCGCTTTCTTCGCCAGGGGTGGGGGTGACTGGAGACTGGGGTCCTGTGTCAGTTTGGAGACAGAGAGAGGAGCCAAGGGGGTGTTCGAGGGGAGCAGGAGAGCGCCAGAGTTTTGGGAGCACCTAGAACCGAGGTGGTGAACACCGGAGAGTGGAAGCACGGGCTTGTTTCTCCTCCTGGGCCCAGGGTGAGTGCAGCCCTCAGAGAACTCTCTCCATCTCCTCACTCTGGTCTGCGCCAAAGGGGTGTGCATGTGCCCAAGCAGGCAGGCACTTCTGTGGTCTGGGAGGAATCCTGGGCTGCAGTGTCACATGCCCGAAGGGTCTCTCCCAGACCCCACCTCGCTCTCACGGTGCTCTCATGCACCCCAGCTGCAGCTACTGCCTCTGTGCCCAAATGCATCTCCAGCCCAAATGCCCTCCCCAGCTCCAGGCCAGGTATCCCACTGCCTCCGGGGAGACCCTCTGGGTGCCCCATGGTTCCTCAGACTCGGCATTCTTCCCAAACACATTAGAAAATCCACAGAAGAAAAGCATGTAGGGCAGATTCATAGGACCCAGGACATGAGGCTTCATGGTACCCGCGGAAACTCTCAGAGAGACGGTGCTGACCTCTGGGAGGTGGCGGGGGGTGGGGGTGGGGGGGGGTTGGGAAAGCCAGCGTCAGCACCAGCCTCTTCTCCCTCCCAGATGAGTGTGTGTAACTGTTGGCCTCTGGTCCTTTTTCATACCATGTGCCAAACTGAATTTAAAAGTATTTATGTAATGATTTAATGTCTGTTTCTCCTAGTTTAGCATTAAGGGCAGAGACCATGTCCCTTTCACTTCTGTATCCCTGATGTCTACCCAGTGTCTGACACATAAGAGGCACCGAGTAAATATTTGTTGAATGCATAAATGCATATTCTTGGTCATCACCCCAGAGGCAGGTCCCTCTTGGGGCCCTCAACCTTTTCCTGCCTTCTTAGCCCTTCCATGCTCTGTGTGCCCTCCCCCACCCCTGCACCAAGCAGCTTCCCACTGGCCTTTTCAGATGCTCTCTTGTCCTGAGCTGCTTCGTGCTCTGTGGGTAATGAGATCCCCACACCGGGCCATCTGCAAGCAGAGGCAGTGCATACACTGATCAATGACTGGAGTGGGGCAGTATGTGCTTTTCGCCCATTAAGCAAGGCCCCCAGGACGCCCGAGGCCCCAGGGGTAGGGCTTTCTCCACCAGTAACCCCAAGTTCCAAGTGCTGGAGACTATGCAGGGGGCTGTAAGCTGGCCTGCCAGGATTGGTGAACAAACCTTTGCCACCCACTCTGTGTTCCATGCCCCTACCCCCCGCTGACCCAAAGTCCCCGAGCTGCTGGTGGAGGAGGCAGCTGGCAATCCAGGCCAGGCCTGGGACTGCTGAGTCAGCCTGCAGTTGTGAGTGGGATGGGGTCAGGGCGTGATCTCTCACCAGCCGATTCTTCCCATCCAGCCCCCACTGCCCAGGAAAGGATCCAACAAACCACAGAAGTAAATAAATAACTTAGAAATAATAAATAGGGGTCCAGTTCCCAGGAGTGAGTACCAGGCCTGCTCACTTCAGCAATGTGATTGCAATGCTTCTCCTCCAATTCTCTCCCCGGGGCCTGGACTGAGGCGGAGAGCTCAGAGACTGCTGGCTTCTCCAGAGGAGGGGTCCTGGGTCTGGGGCCTGGTCCCGCCAGCGTCTGTGAGATGGGTCCCAGGGTCTCCATAGCCAGGTCTCTGGGGTCTGCAGGGCTGGGACTCGCAGGGCCAGGACTGCGGCCAGTTATCCCTCCATCTTTCCAGGGCCGATGCCCATCACTTGCCCAGCCGAGGCCTGTGATGTCCATCTCTGGTTGAGGCTCCTGGCCCCTTCCAGGCAAGAAGATTCCCGAGTAAGGGTGCCATCTGGAGAGAGTTTTCAGCCCAGGCAGCCGCAGGCAGTGGCTGAGAGCCGGTCCACAGTCCTCCAGGTGCTGTTGACATCCATGAAGGAGACAGCCTCATAGCGCGTGGGTCGGCAGCAGGGCTGGCTGGCTGGCTGCGAGCCGGGGAGCGACTGTAAGGCCCCAGCGCCCAGCAGCCTGGCCAGGCTGAGGTCGTGCGCGGAGCGCTCCCTGCGGCAAGAGCCGCTGCAGAAGCGGAAATGCACTAGTTCGTCGGAGCTGTGGCCCAGGCCGAGCGCGCGCACTGGCACCAACTGCGAGCGCAGGCGGCAGCCCCGCGACCCCAAGGCCCGCACACTGCCACTTCGGCCCCAAGCCCGCGCTGCGCGGCCCCCGCGGGAAGGAGCCGGCGAGGGTGCGGATGGAGGGGGCGCTGGCCGGGGATGTTGAGGGGCTGGTCGCCGGGCTCTTCCGCTGCAGGAACGGAACGGGCGGCCACCTAGAATGAGATGGAGGCATGCGCTGGGTCCCGGCCCAGCCTCGGGACACCCACTCCCCTTGCCCTCTCACCTACCTGGCAGGTGGCCCACGGGGGGCGCCGGGGCTGGTGCGGGGCCTTCACGGGTGGCGGGGCTGCGGGGTGCGAGCCCCAAAGAGGCCTCAGCGACACTGCTCAGCAGAACCAGAGTAGCCAGGGTTGGCCACAGGGCAGGCTGCGCAGAGAGACAAAGTGGAGCCTCAGGGAGGAAGAGGGCATCCTGGTGGGCTCGGGGTGGAGGGAGCCCCGGGAAAGGCGGGGGCAGCAGAGATCCGAGAGGATGGCTTCTGGTTGGGTGGGGGAGCTCAGGAAGGGTTTAGGTTGGAGGAGAATGGGTTTGCTGCCTAAGGGGGCCAAGTGGAGAGGTCGCCTGAGGGCACTGACCTTCCTCCAGACTCCTGGTCCCTCCCTGACCATTTGCCTTTTTACTTCTGATGCCTACCCAGGGCAAACCCTGCTCTCCCTCCCCAGTCAAACCACTTTTCCTCAATACCAGGTGGGAGTCGCTAAGAGAACCACTCACCTGCCGCCTAGGCAGGGGCCAGCGGGGCAGCACAGAAGGGCCTCCACGTCCAGGCTCCATCTCTGTCAATACCAGGATCTCCCATCAGCCCGGTTGACCTGTTGCCCCACCCTACTCTTGAGGCAGCTCGGAACATTGAGAAATGAGTTATCCTTTGAGAAGGTCATCCCTCCCCATCAGTATCTCCAGGTGAGGAACAAGGGGCTTGGATAGGTGGACTCAACCCAGGAGAAGTAGCTGCATCAGGAGGTTAACTATGTGCTGTGCTTTGCACCTGTTCTTCCTTTCGGTCCTCACCTCTCCATGAGGTGCGTGTTATAATCCCCGTTTTCCAAATGAGCAAACAAGGCTCAGAGCAGCTCAGCGACTGCCTAAGCTCACAAGGCTGGACCCATACAGCTGGAGGGAAAGGGGTGTTCGAAAATGGTCTCCCCCTCCGGGATCTTCCCGCTTTGTGCTACAGGGTTAGAGCTGCGGGACTAGCTGGAGAAGAGAGTAGCTGGAGGCCCTTGGTCCCACAGACAGCTTTGTCTCTGTTCCAGACAGGAGGAAGCTGTGGCCTGAAGAACTGGGGTGCCTGCTGGTCGACCCAAGGTGTCGGATGATAGTGAGGTCCAGGCTTCAGCCTGCGCTGCCCACCCTGTGCCGCTAAACCTTGCTCCTCTGTGATCTTTCATCTTGAGGGCAGCTAGGCTTCTGGTGGTCTGGGCCACTTGGTTCTCCAGTCCTCACCGCCCCGTCTGCCCACTTGAGTTCCCTCTTCTGATCACCGATATCCCTAAAGAGCCAGCAGGTGGTGGGACCTGATGGGCCCTCAAGAACATGGGGCCCGGGGCCATGGCTCCCTTTGGCCACCAGGGGGCAGTGTCTGCCAAGCATGCAGACTCAAAGAGAGGGTGGGCTTTTCCCTACCCTCAGCCAGACTCAGGCCTGAGCAACTTCCAAGAGGGCCAGCCAAGCCTCCACACCAGCCTAGTCTGAGAGCTGAGCCCCCTGAGCTGTTCCCCTTCCACCTACCTGTGGATCTGACAGCCTGGCCCTGTTCCTGGAAGTTCCCCTATAAGCCATCCTTCCAGAGCCCTGCCAGCCTTTCTGAACCCCACCAGGTTTTGTGAGCCCACACTGGCATTCCCAAACGGCTTTGGAGCCGCAGAGACCTCATGAGCCTTCACTAGCTAGCCTGCTCTTGGGTCCCAGCTGTCACCTGCACCCCCAGGCCCCAGCACACAGAGTGTCTGCAGACTGTGGGTCAGACCTCTGCAGGCCTCCCCAGTGTGGTCCATCTCAGGGCCAGCTGTGTTCAACTCACTAAATCGGAGCACTGCGGGGCCATGCCAGCGACCATTCTCGCTGACGGTGGGAAAGCCAGGCAAGGCAGCCTTCAGGACCCCCTGTGCTAGGGGGTCCCGAGGAGCAGGTCTCTTGAGGGCAGCTAGGCTCCTGGTGGTCTGGGAACGCTTGGTCCTCCAGTCCCTGCCACCCCATCTGCCAGCCAGATACTCACCACGGGGGGGCCTGCGCCGTGTTCTTCTAGGCACCTTCCTCCGGGCCAGGGCTGGACTCTCCCCCGCAGCTCACAAGGCTCATGCCCAGGGCTGTGCACCTGGCAGCGCTTCTTTTTGCCAAAAGTGTGGCCTTGGCAGCCGGTCTGTGCCCTGTGGCGGCAGCGGGAGCCTCACGTTACAGTGGGCCGGCAGGGCTAGCACGGTCCGACGAGCGAGTGACCAGAGGGACAGAGGGGGCTGGGAGGGGCGGAGAGCAGCGCAGTGAGCCCAGGAGAGGGAGGATATGAGAAAGTGGTGGGGGACTCTCTTGCTTGCTCCCCATAGCCCTGGGGCTGGGAAGCGGGGTGGGCCAACAGCTCGGCTTACCTCGGGTGCAGGGCTCTGGGTCCGGATGCAGGGAGGACTTGGGCCCGAGGGACCTGCTGCTGGCAGAGCCCGTGGGCCGTGTCTGGGGGCCGGGCCCAACTCCATCCCTCAGCAGCCTCATGCCTGCCGCCGTCCGGTGTCAAATTCCAGCCCCGGCGTCACCGGATCCCGGGGTGGGGCCCGAGCGCCCCTGCCCCGCCCCACCTTTCAGGGCTCACCTGGTCTGTTGCTGCACCCGTTGGGATCCAGTCCCCCCCTGGTTTGGCTAGGTCCCCTAAGATGAAGGGGAGGACTCTGGGAAGTGGAGGACCCAGGACACAGCACGGAGACACTGGGCGACGGAGAGGCGAGGAGAGTGGTCGCTCACTGTGCGCACACACATGAAGTAGGGAGTTGGGAGGCAGGGCTGCGGGCGGGAGAGGGAGGGGTGGGGCTGGTCCTTGCCTCGGGCCACCGGCCCCCTGGTTTGCGCCGTCCCTGGGGTGCTGGCTGGCCACCCTGCAGTGACTGCTCTCTGCTGTCCGGTCCACTGCTAGCTTCTTCTTTCAGCAGACCCATCCGAGTCATTGGGTGGGTCAGGCACTGCGCTGGGGCTTTCAAGGTCTGACCCTGCTCTAGCCGCCTCCCGACCCCCTCCCTCACCCCGAGGGGCTGGGAGCAGAGACACACCTGTGCACACTGCTGCTCACCGGCACGGCAGGGCAGTGCCTGTAGGAGTGGGAGCCCAGGGCTGAAGAAGTCGGGGGTGGGGGGCAGGGCAGGGCACAGAGGAGGGACATCGTGGTCTTGTTTGAGCAGGAGCTGGAGGGTAGTATTTCAGGAGCCCAGTTATGGCAGCTTGGCAGGTGGGGTGGAGGTTGGGTGAGTAACACGGATGGAGGTACAGAAAGGCCAGATGCTGTGTCATACTGGGGAGTCTGGACTGTATCCTACTGACAGTGGGAACCAGTGTTTCAGGCCGGAGAACGGTGTGTCAGACACATTTCTCTGACCGACTGGCTGCAGTGGGGAGAGCTTGAAGAAGAGCAGTGAGGATGGCAGGAAGCTGCTGGGGGAGCGGAGTGGGAAGCAGAGCGGTGGGGAGAGTGGGGGACACTTCACTCACAGGCTCTGCCAGCACCGCAGCCTTGTATGGACCTCTCTGTGTTGGGGGCTCAGCAGGGTATCTCCCCTGCACCTGCAGGCCTCTGGTCTGGGCCACCAGGTGGAGGGGATGCGTCCTGGTGGGGAGAGCTCCCTGGAGAAGGGGCAGGAGCTCATGAGTTCAGTGATGGACTTGTGGAGAGGGGAGGACCTGTGGATTATCCTGGTGGAAAAGTTCAGGATGCAGCTGAGTCTGAAGCCTGCAGTAAAGTGGAGAGAGCCGGGCTGGAGACGGCAGCTGACAACTGGAAATTGTGGGTGGAAACGACACGCTCAGGGAACATGTGCGGACCCGCTATGTCCTGGCCGTGCATTCACACCACCTGTGGACCTTTAAAACTACCCACATCAGGGCCCCACCCCAGACCTGAATCAGAATCTTGGTATGGGCATGTGCCGTGTTCCAAATCTGCGCAGGTGGTTCTCTGGTGAACGCCCAGGGCTGCGCACCGGTGTTTTTGAGAGCAGTTCCTGTGCACTGGTGGAGAAGACAAGCCAGCTGCAGGGGGACTGTCTACAGGCTGGAAGGGCCCCTGTGGGGCAGGAGGCCAGGCGGTGAGCAGCTCCACTGTCTGCCGTTCCCCACAACGGGCTGCCCAGTTGGGCGGCTCCCCTGGGGCTCTGTCAGCCATGGCTGTGGCTGGCGGATGCGCAGCCTGTGCCCTGTACAACTCCAGGGGGTGCTATTCACACAGAGTACAGTGTGCGTTGAAGTGGGTTGCCTGTCCCTCAATCAGGAACTTGCTTTCTCCTCAGCTGAGGAAGCTTCTGCCTGAGGATGAACCACAGGAGTAAGGGGACATGTGGGAAGCTGGTGGTCCTTGGGACAGCCAGGACTCTTGGAAGGTGAAGGCAGGTGAGGCGAGGGGCCAGTCGCCCCCACTCTGCCAAGGTGGAGCTTCTGGCTGGAAGCTCACTCCGTGCCTCAGGTGCTGGCATGTGTTCGGCCCACTCTCAGGCCTGCCTGGGGATGCTGGGGAAGGGGGGCGGGAACCAGATGCCAGGGCTCTAGGGAGGGACAGTGGGGAGAGATACCCCTTATAATGTTTGTGAGAGGGTGCCTGGAGCTGCACCGTGCCTTCCCGTCGGGTGAGAAGAGCGGGCTGGGTGAGATGGGACGCCGCTGTGCTAAGGGTGGGTGTGCCTTTCCCAGGGCTCAGCCGGGGGTGCCAGAAGGGGTCACATCTATGGACCTCTGTGTCGGGGGCTCAGCAGGGTATCTCCCCTGCACCTGCAGGAATCTGTCCCTGCAGCGCTGGGGCTATGGCGACCCAGAGGCACTGGCCCTCTGACTGTGGGCTTCAATCCTGCCCTCTGGCCCCTGCAGGAGGCATCAGGGGAGACTCGGGCAGCCCCGACACCCCGGTCCGCCTCTCAAGGCAAAGAGGGTGCAGGGCTGTACAGGATGAGAGCGGGTCCGGAAGGCCCCTAGGTGGCTGGCTGCCCAGGTCCTGCAGCTGACATGGGCAGTGAGCTGGAATGAGGGGTTCGGCAGAGCTGCTGGGGCCCCAGGTTCCTGTTTCTTCCAGGAAAGGAAGAGAAAGCGAGAGGCGGCCAGGTTTGGGGAAGAGCTTTATTGCTTCCACGGTGACTGTCACAGCCTGGGTGAGGTCCTTAAGCCTTGCTCCCCGCTGCTCCAGGCTGAAGGCAGAACCCAAGGACCTGGCAGTCTCACTGCTGAAGCCCAGAGCAGAGGCCCAGCTGGGCAGTCCAGGCCCAGGGCACTGTCCCACGGGTCAGTAGCAGCTGGGGAGGGCCCATTCCCATCAGGCTAGGCCAGAGCTCGCCCCAAGCTTTGAAGCTCTCTCTGCTCCAGTCCAGAGGCTGTCTTCTTGGCTGAAAGGGTGGCTCCAGGGTTCCCCTGTGGGACTGTGAGGGCTGGCGTGTGGGAGTACCCCATCTGCTCCCCAAGAAAGGCCGAACAATGTCAGGAGCTGAAGGCGGCTGGCACGAGACCCCACGTCCCTCCCTGCAGCTCCGGAGCGGAGCACTGGCTAGTTGTGGCACCCCCACTCTGCGGGGGGCCTGTTGGCACCACTGCCTGAGGGGCCCTCTACTGGGCCTCTTTCTGCACAGCAAGTGGACCAAACAACATCTCCAACCTTATCTAAAAATAAATTATCCCTCCCCTCCCCCCACCCCAGTTCACAAAATGATCATACACCAAACACTGATTGGAGAAGTAATTCCGGCAGCCACCTTGCTGCCTAGTGTCCACCTCCTGCATGCTGGCCTGCCGGCCATGGCTGGGCCTCCCGAGCCCTGGCTTCAGGGATCCAGGCTGAGAGTGAGGCCGAATGCTGGTCTCTGAGGCTGGACTGAGCAGACACAGCTCTGGCCGCCCTGCCAAGGCCTCGCCACCCCTAGGGCCACTCGGCATGGCCCTCCCTGGGTCTGAAGACTCCAGTGCCTCTCAGGCAGAGCCAGACCAAGGCCAATGGAGTGGGCAGGTGGCGGTGGCTGCTGCTTGCTCTTGGCGGTGCCGGGACCTCCGTGGCCCTGTGCCGGGCACATCTCAGATGCCACTGGTCAGGTCAGTGATGACACGCGCTTTGACCAGCTTCCGCAGAAACTCTTTCTCTCGCTGAATGTTATGCGTCCAGGACTGGAAGGAAAGAGATGGAGGAGCGGTCAGCAGGGCAGCCTGGGTGGCTGCCGGGACACAGCCCCACCACAGTGCACCCCCCACAGCCCAGTGCCCTCTTCTGACCACCATGTCCCACACTCTGTGTCCCAGCTCCTCCTCCCCA